ACGTTACACACACACCATACAGCTCACGGTGAACGTTACACACACACAGTACAGCTCACGGTGATTTCCAGTATCTGCAGTTCGTTGGGTTTTTTTTGGGTTGGTCGGTGAGTTGGTTGGTGATAGGAACAAAGGAGAAAACACCAGCAGAGCTAGGGGGTACATGGTCAGGGATTGGGTCTGGCTAAATTGCTCCTGCAGAGAATTAGCTTGGGTTCGATGGGCTGAATGGCATCCTTGTTATAGAGTGTACTCTGAGACCCCAGTGAGTGCCCCCCCACACAGCCAGACACAGCTATCATCAGAGTGCGACTGTAAGCAATATTGTGGTGTCTTCAATAAAGAGCACATGGTCATGTTGAGATGGTACATGACATGTGGAGCAGACCATCAAGAGAATCCTCTTGTCCCTTGGAGGATACAGGGGGTCATTCAGAAACTTTGGGGTTACATTCTGTCTCAGAGCTTTCACTGTGCGTTCGAGCTGTTTGTTGATTGGCAATGTTCCAGCCCTTGCGCTGAGAGAGGGAAGGACATTTAATTTCAGCTTCTTAACTGTCACAGAGAACCGGTCACCAGACACATAGAAAACCGTGAAACATAGATCACAGGAAACATTGCACCAACACGCACACGCACCCCCACAATAACACACATGACACCATGCCAATGTCACAGAGCCAGACAGCACACAAACCGATCCTTCCGTCCCAACCATAATCCCAAACTAAACTTAGTCCCACCTGCCTGCTCCTGGCCCATATCCCTCCAAACCTTTCCTACCCATGTACTTACCTAAATGTCTTTTTAAAACTGTAACTGTACCCACATCTACCACTTCCTCAGGAAGTTCATTGCACACATGAACCAGCCTCTGCGTAAAAAAATTGCCCCCATGTCGTTTTTAAATCTTTCTCTCATCTTAAAAAATATGCCCCCTAGTTTTGAACTCCCCCACCCTAGGGAAAAGACACTTATCATTTACCTTATCTATGCCCCTTACAATTTTATAATTGACACACACACACACACACACACACACTCAAACACACACACTCTCTCTCTCACACACACACTCTCTGACACACACACACACTGTCTCTCTCGCACATTCTCACACACACACACTTTCTCTCTCACACACACGCACACTCTCTCTCTCTCTCACACACACACACTCTCTCTCTCTCTCACACACACACACTCTCTCTCACACACACACACTCTCTCACACACACACTCTCTCTCTCTTTCTCACACACACACTCTCTGACACACACTCTCTCACACACACACTCTCTCTCTCTATAAGGTCACCCCTCAGCCTCCTATGCTCCAAGAGAAAAAAGCCCCAGCCTATCCAGTCTCTCCTTATAACTCAAACCCTTCATTCCCAGCAATTTCCTGGGAAATCTTTTCTGAACCCTCTCCAGTTTAATAATATCCTTCCTATAACAGGGAGACCAGAACTGGACACAGTGCTCCAGAAGAAGCCTCACCAATGTCCATGGGGAAGGGGGCAGTAACAGGGGAAATGGACAGAGAAAGGTATTGCCCCATCGAGGGGCAAAGGACAGGGAGGGGTGTGGATCAGGTGGGACCAGACTGGAGAGGATGCTGTGCTCTGATTGGACCAGAAACAGACAAACATTGTGTTTTGAGACTGACAATTCTGTCTTCCCCAACTCCATCCCTCCCTCACTCTGCCTCTCCCTCCAATCCCTCTCCCTCCCTCGATCTGTCTATCTCCCCTTTCCTTCATTTTCCTCCTCCCTCATTCTCTCTCCCCTCCTCTTCTTTCATCTCTCCCCCCTCTCACTCTATCCCTTCTCTCTCTTACCCTCTCCCCTCTCTCTCCTTCCATCTCTCCCTCCCTCCCCTGCTTCCCTCTCTGCCACTCTCTCCCTCCCTCCACCTCCTTCCCTCTCTCTCTCCCCCTCTTCTCGCTCCCCCTCCCTCTCTCCCCCCCACATCCCTCTCCCCACCCTCTCCACCCTCCTCACCGCCCTTTCCCCATTCCCCCTCCCCGCCCCTGCAGAATCACCGAGCTGATTGGTTATCAGCCAAAGGCAATGCTTGGACACACTTCTTATGAGTTCTACCACTCACTCGATACCGATCACATGACCAAGACGCACCGTATCTGTAAGTACATCCAGTTCTGGAAGTGGCCGTCACTCTGACCCACATGTGCCCCCCCACCCCCCCGGGACAAGGCAGCGACACAAATAGCAGCCGAGCCTGAGGGATCGCCCTGGGGTCAGTGCTCGGGGCTTTGAGCATCACTGGGAAACATCAGCAACTTCACCAGAGAGCTGGGCAGGACTCACTCTCTCATGTCTGGGTGATTCACACGAAGAGACAGTGTAGAGGGAGCTTTACTCTGTATCTAACCCTGTGCTGCCCCTGAGCTGCGAGTGTTTGATGGGGGGACAGTGTAGAGGGAGCTTTATTCTGTATCAAACCCCGTGCTGCCCCTGAGCTGGGGGTGTTTGACGGGGGACAGTGTAGAGGGAGCTTTACTCTGTATCTAACCCTGTGCTGTCCCTGGCCTGGGGGTGTTTGGTGGGGGACAGTGTAGAGGGAGCTTTACTCTGTATCTAACCCTATGCTTTCCCTGTCTCAGGAGTGTTTGATAGGGACAGTGTAGTGGGAGCTTTACTCTATATCTAACACCGTGCTGTCCCTGTCCCTGGGAGTGTTTGATAGGGACAGTGTAGTGGGAGCTTTACTCTGTATCTAACCCCGTGCTGTCCCTGTCTCAGGAGTGTTTGATAGGGACAGTGTAGTGGGAGCTTTACTCTGTACCTAACACTGTGCTGTCCCTGTCCCTGGGGGGGGTGGGGGGGACAGTGTGGAAGGTTGCGGGCATGAA